CCCCCCCGCACTCCCTCAGCCCATCAGTACTAGTCACACCTGCACAGCCACTCCCATTATGCTCACCAAACACAACTCATTATTAAACATTTCTTGGCCATTAAGATGAGTCATGCTCGATAACTCTCAGTTTGTGCTCCCACGCCCTCACCTCAGTCTCTACTTCAACCCAGACAGCCCACCAAATGCCACCCACCGAGCACATGTTGTCTGTATAACAAATGTCTTTCAATATCGCCCCAGGTTATATTCAAAAGAAACTTAGAATTAATTATTTTATGTATAAGGCGAAGGATTAGAGAGGGAAAAGGAAGACAAGGAAAGGGAGGGAAGAAGAGAAAAAATGTCGCTCAGAAAAAAATTTTAACGTGTAAATTAATTTTAGATAGTTTAATGAATTTCTTGGTGTTCTAACAGGCTTACTTAAGCGCCATGAAGAACCAATGGTGGTGGATAAAGCAGTTGACCATAGCATTCAAGGAACACTTTACACATGCTCAGACATACCATCAGGTGAGCTGGACAATATTAGCACAACTAACCATGTGTGAGGAAGGGTCCAACATCAGTACGCGTGGTCTGTTGCCTAGGAAACGTGACCTACTTGTCTCTGCATCTAGTAGAAAGAACCATGAAAAAATCCGACTATGAAATAAGAAATGGGAAAGAAAGATTGTTTGCTTGCCAATGGAAAGAATTTTCCTCTCTAAAATTAGAAAGTAAAAATTAACAAAAACGGATTGTAAACAATTCAAAGAAATTAAAGAAATGTAGGAAATGAGTTAGAAAAATACAATAAAAAGATTCACAAAGATGCAAAAAAAAAAAAAAAAAGAACTTAGTTCTGCATTAAAACAAAATAATTTGTTAATTTTTAATTACCAAAAAACCTAAACAGGAGTCAAAAAGAACAGCTGAGTATCTGGTTTCCTGCTTTTTTTTTTGTTTTACAAAAAAAACAATAATTAAATAATATACCACTTCAGAAAAGTAAAGCCTACAAACATTAATTTGTCTTTTGTTTATAGTTTTTTGGAGACGCAAGTATAGCTGAACAGAAAATGGTTCGTCTAATTGATGATCTTAATAATGTGTACGATGTTCAAGTCATACCAGACCGGGCCACGGCGGAAGAACGCCTTGCAAAACTATCGGTGAGTGTCTTGATTGACTGGGTGGATGATTTCATCTTACTTCTATGAAAGCCACACAAAAATATCGCTAAATTTTCCCCCGAGGGTAAAGAAACTATGAAAAACAACACTTTTAAATAAAACTGGTTTCTGTGATACTTTTAAATAAAGTAAACAGGTTCTGCGATATATGTCCCTTTTTGGTTTTTAAGTAAACGGCGCCAAAACATTTTCCAATCTTCCCACTCATTTCCCTTCCATCCGATTTTTAATGTGAACAAACTTTATTTCTACTTCCATTTCCACTCTCATTAGATAGAAAGATTTCAGGCAATTAATATCGTGAGTTTGAGAGTTATTATTTTCCCTGTGAACAAAATGCTTTCCATATAATAACAAATTTTGAGAACTGTGTGGATTTATTTTGGAGGTGGGATTTGGTAAGTTTTTTTAGCCACACTTAGAATATAATGTTTATAGATTTTTTAGAATTTGTTGCACTTGACATTATATTTATATATTGGTGACTTGATACCTGCTACATAGATAGCCATTGACATAAAGAGGAACACGAGTCTACATGCAAAAAAGCTTTTATCGTTCAAATGTAACGCCAGTCAGTTCGGTTCAAGTCACGCGATCCTGAACGTTTTCAAAAATCACACCAAATAATAATTTTAAAAAAACTTGAATGCTTCAAAATCCCATTATAGGGCATTTAGTAACCACTTAAAGGTGTTAAAATCGACCAAAGCGGGTAGCGGTTGAATAAAGAGATCTCTAAAAGCAGTTATGGTCCCGTGTCATAAATATTAAGCGCTCGATCATTATGCATTTTGATGTTTTCTTTGTTGTGGGCTCGCTCTCTCCCGTGTGTAAGTGCACTCGCGTTGGATTACGGMCGGTCTCATGCTAGATGTGATGTTTATATTCGTTTCTGCTGAGACAAACACGACGGGAGCCTTTTTTACATCTCGAATGGACCAAATCTGAACACCATGTTGTATAAAGGAATGCTGTATTTACTTAGATGTTGAAGATGAATACGAATTYTTAAGCATCTTGGCTGTGGCATTTTGACTCTACAAGAAACACCAGAATATAACGTGAACTCAAACATGCAGTTGTTGACTTCGATTAGCTTGTCACAAGGAGAAGTAACTGGTCATGATATCAAAAAGAAGTAACATGGAGATTTCTGAGTTAATAGAGTACAGAAGCTTTGGTAAATTAAGTTATTAAATCTAGTACGGTCCAGCACGTCTTTGACTTAGGTTTTATAACACTTGCTTGTTGCAAAGCTACCATCTTCAAACGAAAGAGGTCATCGTCCATGATCTTGGATATTTTCATTTGCACTGAGCACGGATGAATCTACTATGTGTGTAGCACTGCACTGGAGTCTTTTCCCTATTTTATCATTTATTTTATTCACTGCCACTCTCGTTCTGTTGTCGTCCTTGACGTTAATTGTGTACATTGTTTTAAAAGAAAGAGACGAAGAAGTTGTAYCAAGGGAACGGTCGTCCGTTCCTCCAACTTTCTGGACTTCTCCTTTCTCATGGACAACAAATATGCTTTCTAGACCTCCAGTATTCGCATATTCATTATTAAAACGACAATTCAACAGTGCAGCGAGTATAATTCRGTGGAAAAACTCGACTCAATCTGGGTTTGATCATGACAGTATACTCCACAACAGTCGATGGCAAAAGTTTTGGAGGGAACGAGTTCTTCCCGCTAATAACGAATTTCTTCGCTCAGACATCCCTTTGGACACCTTTCCAGTCGTAAGGCAAACTCAACTAGGTCTTATTGTAGCATATTCTTTAGATTATGTAAAAGATATATTTCAACAACACGAAGTCCAACCGAGTGTTTCAAAGCCGGAGAGATACGTCTTGATCCTTCGCTCGCCTAAAACTAATAATACGGACGAGATCGAGCCCTCTTTTAAAGAAGTTGTTACAGATATGCTACAGTTTAAACAGGTAAGCTTCTTTCAAATATTCACGGTATCTTGGACAAATATTCACGAGATTTTGGACAATTTTCAATTAAGAAGTGATTGATTATTACACGTGGACTTCGTCTTCACGTGAAAGCTACAAAATATGAACGTTTTGGCGCGCGAGTTGAAAGCAGTCTTTTCAATCGTTGAAAATTAAAAATAWATATACTAGAAAACCTCCGATTTTGCTCTACATCGTAAAACAAAGTCTTCAGTTGTTCTTCAAGCCAGCTGAGTTGTCAGGAACATCGTTTAGCCGTTTTTGAAAGCTGGAGACGGGCAAAAATATTGTAAACAAATTCAAGTTGAGTTCCGCTTGAATGAAGCCAGACATGGTTGCTAGAGTCTAGATCTTTCAGCTATAATTTTAAAAACGATTTGACATTTATTTGCTATATTCCGTGCTAAAGTAAATGTATTGTGTATTCATTCTTTGTTAGTCTTTTGAGCTCGATGATTTCGGTAAATATTAAAATGTAGTATTTGTAAATTGTTGTATCAGGGAATTAATTTTTGAAATTTAGTCTGCTATTCGTGATCAGGTTTCGGTCTAAAAAAWTTAATTAATGAAATAAGCTTATACCCAAGATCGAGATTTGTTTTACTTTTACTTTTATAGTTTAAATGTAAAAAGTTAATTAGTTTTTTGTGAGATAAAGTTTGCTCGCAATTTTAATCTACCGGCCTGAAACGTTGGTCGTGTCGTGATTTATCTAAAATTCTACATCTATTTGTTTGCTATATTTTAAATATAAGCAAAGATTATTCCAAAATGACAGCAAGGGAAATGAGATATTTTTTATATTGTTTTTTGTCTGAAAATTCTTACAATTTTGCACAAAATTGAATATCCCACCGTGCTTGGATTAACAGGAAGAGTGTAATTATATAAATAGGAATACTAATGATAGAATAAGAATATAACGAATCTGTAATTCACTGTTTTCCCTTGAAGTTTTTCTTTCTTGCCATAAAACCTGTAACATTAGATGTTTTTGGAAAGTATTTAGGTAAGATATTAAGAAAGTTAATAGTGTTCCTGGACAATATTCAGTCAGAAAATAATTCCAGTTCATAAAATAATAGGGATTCAATCCAGCTTTGCTACGACAAAACAAATAGCTTACTGACTGACCCAGAGACTGACCTACGATACATGCTGGATCTCGTCTTGGCAAAAATGCAAATTCTTAATGGGTCAGAAGCTGGCAGCTAATTAAAAGCATGATGGCAATTTATATAATGGTTAAAGATGTATATTATGTCAGCATGATGTAGAATTTAGTATTCAATGAACTAAATGGGCTACCCAACTGACTATTCTCCACATACCATATATCCGTTTGAAAATCTAATTTGATTTAYCAYTCCWCRGTGGATGGAAAGCCTAACAGGCTTTGCAACCCACTTGATGAGGCAGCCGATAGATCAAATTAGGATTTAGAAGTTCAATTTGGTGAAGGGAGAAAAAAAACCAGAAAACCCAGAGAAAAAACTCTCAAAGTACAGAAAAACGCTTCTCATGTGACACATATTCAGCAGGACTTGAAGCTGGGTCGCATTGGTGAGAGGCGAGTGCTCTCAAAACTGTCACTCATGGTTCCAGTTCACTGGTCACAAACCATGAAATAGGGGCTGCAAGTTATTTCAAAGTATCATTCCAAATTGAACCTTGTAATATAAATAATTCTAAAAAGTTTAAAGAAAGATCATATAGCCAATGGGAGAGGGGTTAAATATATCAGATGGTAGAAAAAGGAAGAATAGWATAGAAAGAAAAAAAAGAGTAGAATGGAAATGGAATTTTGAAAATTTGTTAAATCTTCTTGTTAATTCCATTCCCAGTAATCTGAATCCCAGTCTCATTTTGAATTCCATTTCCCATCTAATTACAAACTCCATTTCCAATCTTAACCCTCCAATTTATTGTTAGAATGTTAAGTGGTACTCTTCAACTCATAAGGAATATGATATTTTAAAATGACTAATATTTTGATGGTAATTTCTTTCAAGTTCATTTATCTGGTCAGATTTTAAAGATAATATATTTTTTCTCAGGAAATGAAGCAAGAATTAGTAGATTATAAAGACACAATAAGCTCTCTACAACTGCTRAGCAGACAAGTTGTTCCTCTGCCCAAAAGAAAAGCAAAGTTAAAAGAAAAAACACCTGTGAAGTCAGCCTGTGGATACAAGAATTTACAGGTAGGATGAGAACTAAAATGTTTTGAAATAATTATGAAATCAAGGGTAGTGTAATTGAACTTGTCTCGGCCATCTGGGGTCTCGTGTTTGATTCCTGGACTTGGTGTCACATGTGAGTTGAGTTTGTTGGATCTTTCACTTGATTCAAAGGTCTTCTTGGGGTTCGCTGGTTTTCCTCCCTATGGAAACCCAATCAACTAAGTACAGTTTTTTACAGTACAGTACAGTACAGTTTTTTTCTCTATAAATGTTTACTTAGTCAACTAAGAGCCAGGGTGAAACATCGATAGATCACCCTGTTATACTTAGTTTTGGACAGTTCACTAAACTCAAATTGGATCTGTGAGTTAGCTGTGCCCTGACTTTGTTCAGCCCAGAGGTGTTTTCGGGTTTTGATAAAATTTGAAAGTTTTTGGAAAGTCCTTTTTGGGGGTTATACAAAAGAAGTGGTGATGTTTATTGTTTTATTTTTTTATTCATTTGCTTAGAACGTGACCGAAAAAGGAGAGGAATGTTTGCTGTTAGACAACTCTGAACATCATGCATGGAAGGTTAGTTATGATATATTRATTTTTGTCATCATCATCCTCGCATCATTACTGGATCATCCCAAACTTCATCATCAGAACCCTCATTATCAGAATTACCACTACAAATATTTCGGTCACCTCCATCAATATTATCACCATAAGCATAACCATCACATCACCGTTGCCATCGCCATTGCCATCACCGTCGCCATTGCCATTGCCACCACCATCGCCATTGCCATCACCATCACCATCGCCATCACTATCATCATCATCACTATCATCATCATCACTATCATCATCATCATTATCAACAACACTACCATCATCATCACCACCACCATAATTGCCACTATTGACGAGATTCCATAAGTCAAAATGAAGTGTAGTCTTTACTTCTTTGAAACTCATACAATAGACATTTCCCGAATTTCGCTTGACTGATCATGAAACCATGGTTTCAAGTTGAGGTTGGACTTTCTGAATAAAGGAATCAAATTCAGTCTCAAATTCAATCCATTGTTTTGTGATCCAAGGGAATTCGGGAAAGGTCTATTTATTTCCAATTTACTAACAATAAGATTTATATTTCTGCCATCATCATATCAAATCCATTCATTGATGAATCACATCACTAAAGTGCTACTTGTCTATCCTCCATTTCAGGTCAACACAACTACAGGCCAAAAAAGTGAGATTCCTTCTGTATGTTTTGTGATACCTGCACCAGATCTAGAAGCAGCTGACTTTGCAACAAGGTATGTTCTCAAGGGAAGCAYGGGTGGCATAGTGGTGGGAACACTTGCCTCTCACCAAGGCAACCCAGGTTTGATTCCCAGACAATGTTGTGTGAAAGTAAAGTTGCTTGTTGCTTCTCTCCTTTACTTGGAGGGTTTTTCTCTGGGTTCTTTAGTTTTTCCTCCCTCCTCAAAAATCAGCTTCTAATTCAAATTTGGAATCCAGTGGAAGAAATAGACCATTTTCGAGTTGCAAATTACCGCTGTGTTCATTGATTACAGACTCATTTACTCAGGCTTAGCCTCGAATCTGTGTCTAAATATTCACAAACACCAATGGTAAAGGAAAGAATGCACAACTTCAACAATTAATACAAACACTTCGAAATTTCACGGATCCTCACTGGAACACATGAATATTCTGCACAAAATCGAGGCTAACCCTGAGCAACAGAGAACTCGAAACTGAAGTATTAGAGCCACTCTGTAAAACCACAGTTACTTCTGGTTTATTTTTATTTTTTTATCCCACCCAGCTGCATTGATACAACAACAAAATCAAAACTACATTTGAMTTAATTAATTGGAGATCAGTTTATTGAATCATACTAATTATTAAATGATATTACTTTATTGAATCGTTTATGGAATAAATTATTAATATTAACAAATGTTTACAATAWTATGACCGATATATATTTGGTTTTGTTTGTTTAGGCTAGAGATTCAATACAAGCACTTATTAACGTTATGGCGAACAAGACACTGGAACCTCAAGCAAGCACTGAGCAAAGAACAAGTGTTTAGTAAAGTTAAGGTTATCAAGACAGCTGCTCCACAACAGGTGTGTTTCTATAGATCTAACCTTGCATAGGCAAGGAGAGTATCGTTGATAAGTGAAATATGTTAACGAAAGATGAAAAATGATGATAATGATTGATGATGATGTCGTAAGGGATGGTGACGATGATGGATGAAGGATGATGAAGACGAAAGTGGTGGTGATGGTAATGATGATGAAAGTGGTAATGATGGTGATAWTGAGGATGAAAGGTGCTGTGGTGGTGGTGATGATGATGATGTTGACCAGCGATGAAAATAACGGTTATTATTATGGACTGATGATGAACGATTGATGATAACGATCTTCGTTATGATAGTGGGGAGGGGGTGGTATTGTTATTCCTTTGACCCCCACGCCCTGGAAATTTTCGATTTCCACCATGGCAGGGTATGGATATTTTCTGGAACCACAGAATTTGAAAAAACTCAAGCCAGAGACTTAAGGGGCACGAATTCTTCGATTGCATGTTACGTCATCGCGCCATTTAACAAAAGATTTCTCATTAGCATCCATTCTCAAATGCACCACAATGGCCGCCTTATTTTTGTCTTTTGACTGTCTTGGGAATGTTTGCAAGCCATCAATAGATTAATGGTATTCGTTCTTCAGGCCAATCTTCCCCAGTTGGCTCTAGCTGGTAGCAAAGATGTCGAACAGTTACTAAAAGATATGCAAGACTCAGGTGACCAAGAGGTTATAGGTATCACAGAACAGCTCGTAAGTCAGCATCCAGAGATGGCTTTTGACGATGATGATACAGAYGCTACTAGAACACAAGTACGATCATACGAAACACCTAAACTACAAATTCTTGATCAGGTAAGAGCGCAAATTACAKCTGATAATGTTCATCGTAATGGAGCTGTTGAATCGGTTACATCTCACTAATAAAATACACCTGTTTCAAGATCTGTTACCCAACTTGACGACATTATTTGTGAAAAACGATGGTACTTTTCATTATGTTTCTGGATGTTCAGATCGCTTTCGTTATAGAAGACGTGAGCTTCATGTTTTTCAACTTCGTATTTGTGGAAAAAATGGTCCATTTTCCCGGTCGAAGGGATTGTTTTACTTGTACTTGCGTTCCTTAAAAATTAAATGAAAGGTTAGCTGAGCTCGCGCAACTTGTCGCAATACACTCTTGCCGTTGCGCGTTGCAAAGCTAATACTATTGCCGGTATTACCACTCCGTGCGCAGCAGAGCTTCAAAGCAGACGGAGCTTCTACATCATGAAAGAAAGAATCATTTGGTATTTTTTTTCTCGTATCTTTTCCTTAAATGTCACCTTGTGATTCATTTTCAAGGTATTTTATTTTTCCCAGGAAAGTGCCCAAAGCACTCTAAAGGACCTGTTAACGTGGTTAAAAAAAGTACAGACGCACGTTGACCAAAAGTCTTCGGGGACTCTAAACCTTGAAAATATTGATGCAGATCTTGATGATATTAAGGTACGAAGTGCAATCAAGATTACTAACAATCACTACTGGTTATTGGACAATATGTGGCGGAACTAGGCGGGGAAAAAGTTGCTAGTAAAAGTTGCGGAGGCAAATAAATGGGACTATTTTTCATTTTAAGCGATCCTTGGGCAGAAGGTGGTTGGGTGGGGGCACGGACACCGAGTGAACTTCCTCTAGAATYCTTGGGTAATGAAGCAATATCTAAGAATTGAATAGTATTATTATAACTCTTTTCGAGCTTTTGCAACTGTAGTTTGTTGGGTAAGCTGTGGTTGCCATCRCATGTACATTATCATCCACAAATCTCCAAAAGTGTTTGTCTATCTGCTAATCCAGGTACTTTTGAATTCCGTAGAATATTCAAGAGGAGAAGAGGAAAATAAGACGTCCTCAGTACGACGCCTTGATGAATTTGTTGACTCGCAAAGTAGATCCCCAACTACAACGAAAGCTCGATGAAACAACAATAATGTGGAAAAATGTCACACGGTCAACTGAAGAATGGGAAAAGATGTAAGTGAAACCACGAAGTGCGGTAGCACTGAYCGGACGGGTAAATCTTAACCAGTGGATAAATTTATTTGATACCAGCATCGACTTATCCACTGGATAAGGATTTATACATCAGGGCTCGGTTGTACGAAGTGTGGATAGCGCTATCCGATAAGGTCTGAGTTGGGCGATCTGAGGCTTAATTTATTGGATACCAGCATCGACTTATCCACTGGATAAGGATTTATCCATCAGGGCCGGGTTGTACGAAGGGTGGATAGCGCTATCCGATAAGGTCTGAGTTGGGCGATCTGAGGGTTACTTTTTTTTGTGCTTTTTTGTTTTCTGGCTAAAATACGAAACATCAAATGTAACTCAAAGGTCATTCTTAATATTCCAATCTGTAAGCAAGCTCTTTCGTTCGGCTGTGAATATATTACATTTTGCAACATTTTACTCCACTCATATTTTCAAATTCAGATTTCCGACCGACAGTGTTTTTTGAAGTAGGCGTTTATAAAGTATAGCTTGTCTAAGTACTGAAATTTTGTTCGTTTTCTTGCTTGTTTAGGCTCGAATTCATGCAACACGTAGCATCGATCGTCAAAGATTTAGAAGACTGGCTTCACCGTGTTGAAGTTATTCTGATCCAACAACCTGGATTAACCGCTGACCCTAGAGAACAACAACAGCAACTCCATCAGCTCGATGTAAGTTTTAAACTCTTACTATCGACAGGCATTATTATTGCGAGGGCATGGGCGCGAATTTCGTTTCGTGGCGGGAATTAATTCGCGCGTCGGTATTCCTAAACAGAGTGCGTTATTTAACATGATATTACTCAGGCTGAGTAATGTGTTTGACGGTCAACGAGATACGTTTTCATGAGTCGTCTTATCCWACCACATTGTCGTTGCGAAGGAACGCGCAATTATGAGATCTTGGAAAGCGCGCAAGAGGGCTTGCGAGCCTGGCGGGAAATAACTAAAGCGTTTTTCGGTATATTTATGAATGCGGCATTTTTCAAGACACCATTCCATCTACGTCAGGTGCATTTTTGATACTTGTGTAATCGAGCTGTGCTTTGAAGGTTCGCGCGTCGCAATCCTGGAGAATCAGAGGTCAGCGGGAAATTAATCGTACGTTTTCCCGGTATCTTTTTGATTGCGTAGTTTTTCAAGATATTTCTGTTACTATTCTACAGGATATTTATGATAAAGAGATGAGACCTCGGCACATCAAAGTAGAAGACGTTCGTTTAGCTCTCCCCAAGCTAAGTGAACGCGACCGAGCACGAACCGAGGACGTTCTGGAGAGATGGGATGCTGTGAACCATCAAATTCAAGATAGAATGTCCAARTACACCAAAACCCTAGAAAAACTACACACTTACCATACCGCGCTGAATTCAGAGGAAAATTGGTTGACTCATGCTGAGAAGAGTRTTAGAGATTTGAGGTTACCAGAACATAAACCCGAGGAGCAAGTAGTTGAGGGGATAGAAACGAGAATGGAGGAATTGACGGTGAGTAGGATTCAAGACGGTGATGCCTCACGTAAAGTATGTACTTGCCATTTGTGTGTCAACCAGAGATTGATCGGCTGGTGAAATAAAACGGCTTATGAAGAACGTTTTGTGAAAAAAAGTTGCAATATTATATTCAATACTGTTGTAAGTAAATGTCAAGTATCATACGCAGTGTTAAAGACATTTTCTGCATGACTGTGAAGAACACACGAGGAAGCCTTACGTTCCGCGTATAGTTCGCGCAATGTTTATTGGATGACCACTGGACGTGCGTGCTGTGTGTGGTACGACCGTCCCGTGTATACATTTGCGCAATTTTTATTGGATGACATATGAACGTGCGTGCTGTGTATGGTACGACCGATCTCATTAATTCCGTGCCGTGACTGATTACGCTTTGCTATTTTAAAGCCATACAAAATCTACTGCGTTTGCACTATTATTGCATCTACTGTGTTAAGTTTTTGCTGTGTTGCTCATCCTTTAAATTCTTTCTCTCTTTGACAGAATTTGTACACTGAAGTCTGCTCTCATGAAATCCCGATTCAGAACCTAGCTTCTAGATCAAGTGAATATGCATCAGATTCCATGGTAAGAACCCATACTCCGTTCCAAACGTAATACGCACGCTTAAAAAATTGGCGGGAAAGGATGAAAAATGGCGGGAAAGGATTAGTATATTTAGATGACAAATGCCGGGAAAATCGCGAAAGCGCCTCACGCATCGTTGCTTTTTGTGTGTGATTATTTTTCATCCAAGATGTCGAAAAAACGTTTCATTATTTATGATTCTATCATCGAAATAATGATCACAATTTTGAAATGCTTTGTATATTTTTCAGGATTACGAGGAAAAACTAGAAAAATACCGACGTAGTCTTCATCACCTCCCAGAATCTCGCGAAAAAGAGAACCCCGCTCTTGCGACTACTCAACGAAGCCGCGACGAAATGCAAGCGACGGCATCCGAAACTCGAGATCGTTACGAAAAGCTCCGAATCCAGGTTCAAACCGTAATGGAAAAAGTCGTATTAGTTCTAAAGCGACATGGAGTAGAGCACAAAGAAGTCGAAGAAGCTTGTGTAGAATGGTGTTCATCGATACAAAAACTCTTGGACTGGGTTAATGAAATTGAAAAAACCGTGGCGGAACAGACAGGAACCCCGGCTGACGTGAAACAACTGGAGGAACAAATAGAGCAACAACAGGTTTGTAGGAAAGAATTGGTGTCTTGCTTTTTACCTCTCATCTTAACACGTAAGGTATTCACGGGTTTTACTGGAACTGAGGCAAACCGTCTGTTTGTATCTTGAAAAGACATTTCTTTATCATCCATTTTTATCCCGAATCACCATCTTTTATATCTCATTCGATCTTTTCGACTAGGGATCCCTGTGGTTAGAGTGGATAACCACAGGTAAACCAACTACACAAAACCAAAAATAAAATAAAAAACCCGATGTTTTTAATTAGATTAGGTAATAGAAATCACTTCAAAGACCTAAAATAATGATATTAAAATAAAATTTAATTTAATAATGAAATAAATTGAGATGATTTTATAAAGAGGAAATATTTCAGTCCTATTTTCCGCGGGATTAATTTAATGAGTTAAAATATTGTGGCTAGACTTTACCATTCTTAGATACACAAAGAAAATTGTCTTAAAGAGGCTTAAAGTCACRTTCCATTCGTTTGACAAACACGTTCTTGAACCAAGAAGTTTTGAAGCCCAGAAAGTGTGAATTCAGGTGATGAAAATGAGTTTTGGTGGTCTATAGGAATGGTTGAGAGTGGTGCTAAATTTTCAAAGTTAGTGGAAAAAATCACAGCGGAGCGTAGAAAGAACGTTCGACTTGGTTTGTGAAAAACAAAAGACATGTACACATAAGATTAATGCTCTTTAAGATGCTTGTATTGTTAATTATACAGAATTCTGGCTCATCGGACCTCACGGCATAAGTATTTTTGTGGTTTCTACAGTCGGATTTAAGCGAGTTCTGACGCGTTTTTATGGCTTTATAAATTAATACCAACTCGTAAACTAAAAAGATTCTATCACGCTGAGTTGTACAATCAYACTAGTAAGAGTTCTTCTTGAATCAACCAACTACACGACTTAATCTCCTGAAGCAAAACAGCTGTTACTCGGCCATATATCTCGCTGATTTTCGCTAAACGAGCAGAAAAATGATCGTACTTTTGTATACAGCAAAATCTCCGAAGATTCGTTATCGTATTAGGTGAGTAATTATAAAGATCTTAGAATAGACTTGATGGTTCTTGAAAGTGTAAACGGCTCAACCAATCATCTTGACCTGTATGCATTTATTAATTGTGTTTGTTAAGTGTGTTTTGTTAAAACTACTATTCCAAAAAGYCTTTAAGACTCACTAATGTTCGAAATCGTCTTCAAAATCACTYGACAAAGAGTGAAATACTCCAAAGAAAAGGATTTTCAATGTAGGAAACTCAGTTCTTGCTGTTGTAAACAATAGTTTAGAGCTTGTTTGTCAGCGTGGATTCTATGTACAACACTTTTGTATTGCTAATAAGGTTAATCAATCCATAAATTGATAGCGCTGACACGAAAATTAACTTAGAACCCCCAAAATGTATCCTCTGCAAAACTTCCACCGTATTTCTAACTGATATATKTTATCACCGTGCGTGATATCTCAAGTTGATGAGAAAATTTAGACACATTGTAAAGTTTCAAGAAGCTTCATACAGCCGGTAGATTCGTATCTATTATAGGAACTTTAGATACAATAAGAGCAAAACTCTATGCGTCTAATATAAAATACTAAATCAATCTTCGTGACAGCAAAGAAGTTGTTAAAATTTTGAATGAATAACTTTATTATAYTCAATTGATATCTAGATATTTTTAGGATTTTGAATTTATTTTAACTTACGAAGCTAAATTATGACGTCGCTAAATGTAGATTCTTCTTTCTTTCATGTGCCATCTGTTTTTGGCGGGAAAATTCACTCAACTTCACATCACGCGTCCTTACATCTAYGTCACGTCCACAATCTCCATACCTTCAAATTTGGCGGGAATCCTCATTTTGCGCCTCTGCTTTGTATTGTTTTTGACGGGAAACGAAATAGAAGTTAACTAAAGCCATCTATGAACGTAAACAGCCCTTGGAGAGCGCACTTCAGCAAGGCGAGCAGTTCTTGACTAGCTCAGGACAACAGCTTCATCCTTCCAAGAAAAGTGATTTGGATTCGAAGATGACGAGTCTAGAAGCGCGATGGAGAAGACTTCAAAGTGAGCTCGATAATCGTTACATGAGACTGGTGCTTATTCACGAAAAATTGACGAAATTCGAGGAGCTGCTCCACCCATTTTTGGTAAGTTTTTAAGTGCACTTTTATGGGTCAATTGACCCCTTGCAGCACGTCGGATGCAGCTCTATTTGGAAGACATAACAATAGGGTTTCAATTCTCGTGAGATTTAATTTTTTTCGTTTTGTCCTCCAAATTGAGCTGCTTTGACGTCACATGCAAGGGGTGTATAGTTACTTCCGTCGGATGGGAATACTCAACTTTGCATCGTGCTTTGCGCGTCGTCATTAAAGCGTGAGTTTACATATCGAAAGCACTGCTGTAAACGGGCAATTTTCGTCACATCTCGCAATCGAACAAGAAATTGCTTAGTATAACGTTAAAACCCCCTGTCTCGCCATTTGTTGCAGCGACGCCATAATGGTATAACTCTTTGATCAGCCCACATTTACAGTATTTTATTAGATTAGCCTCACCTGTCACCTATTTTCGCTCGATAACCAGCAAGCAACGTCACCTAGCGTGGCACTCAATCCTTGTCTCAACTTTTTGTTACAACATARTTTACTTCTGCAACGATTGCTAGGCATTRCTTTGTGGCTGTAAATGTAATGCACTCCGTTTGTCTCGCGCAGYAAGCGRTAAGGAGAGTGCTTAGTGAGTGTGACATTCACCCCWTGATCTGCATGTTGCTYTACAGACCTGATATGATATCGTATCATTTATTTATCCATCCTTTCTATGTTTTTCTTCAGGCATGGTTAAAGCGTGCAGAGGAACAAAGTGCTGATATACTYCACAACGTAAATGACGCGCAGTCTGCCCARCAAAGATTATTGATACACAAGGTAACATATTTTGTATATGTCTGACCGTGCCATGATGGTATCGTGACCAAATATTTTCATTGGCTAACCATTGATTACACGCGCTGTAATTGGTTGAAACATGAAGAACATGGTTGGCGTACGACTTTGGCACGTACTCCACAGCAGCTTTCTTGAGCTTTGAAACGTTTAGTTTGAAAAGTTATAAACTGAATTCACGGTGCAGAACTGCGAAAAGAATGGCTGTCTTTTGATTTTGACGCATACCTATACTCTATTGCCTCTTCCATGTGCTTTRAAAATTTTACTTTTGATTTGAAAAAGTAAACAAATTCAAGGTATAGCATTTTGACTCGGGATAGGCAATGTTATTAACATATATAATGCTTATTAAACAAAAGTAATTTACATATTTTTCAATTTGTTTCAGCATTTTGTGGATGACGTTAAAGACCATGAACGAGACTTGAAAGCTGTCAATCAAAGCGGTGAAGATTTCTTACATGAAGCCAAGGTTTTCCATGGCGAACTCCAAAGGTCAGTCTCGGCCCTAGGCGACGACCAGTCCAAAGCTGCTCTGGGAGATCCGGACGAGAAATCCTGGGTACTAGAAAACAAACTATCTGACATCAACGAACGGTACAATCGATTATTGYTGCTCCTCACGCAGCGCGGAACGTTACTCGATCGATCGTGGCAGCAGTTGAAGGAATACGATGCGAAAGCCAATCAGATGCTACCATGGCTGAATTCTGCCGAGGAACATTTAGCTAAGAAGATGGCGCAGCCAATAGGAAACGAGCCTGCAAAAATACGAAGAGAAATTGATGAATTAAAGGTGAGAAAAAAATGAAAGTTTGTTTTCCCCCCGTAAAACCCCATAAAATTTGTTACTTAGTTCAGTTACTTGGCTTTCATTGCCATTGTACAACCTCCTGTTAAAAATAATGCTCAATTTGCCCTGGGTAGGTGTTCAGCTGCTTAACTTTGACACGAAATCTTCATTTTAAAGTGCCAGTCACACCAACTAATAGCACCTATTCTTACTGTCTTGCTTAAACTTTCCACAGGCATTCCAAGCAGAGGTTACCTCACACCAACCTGAGGTTATTGAAGTCGATGTCCTGAGCCACAGTATCGAAGGCGTGGCACGAGCACCAACCTTTGAAAGRGGCAAGCCAATAAGACAAAGATATAACGAACTTTGTACAAACATTGCTTTCTACGAGACCAAACTTCAAACTGCGCTCACCTCGTCGCAGAATTTCAAAGACGGCCTTGACGCTGCCATTAAGGCTTTACAAGACTTGAAGAAACAAATCGATAAACTTCCGGAGGTGGCACGAAGTCTGAACGAACTCAGGCACGAAGCTCAACAGTTTAAGGTAAGCGGCTTTTATTAACGGCAATTTTTTTTCTTTTTTTAAAGATTAGGTAATGACTTAACGAATATGGACAAAGGAGACTTGGAGACTGCCGGAACTATCTCAACCTAAATACTAAATAKAAATGTGCTCTGAACCAATCAGATAGTGTGGAATAATTTATCTCWTTCAATCACATCGCCTCAATACAATTTAATGGCTTCCTGTACTCTGAACCAATCAGATAGCGAAAAATCGTAATTTCAACAACGCCAAAATACAGTTAAATGGTTTCTCTGCCAATCGCATAGCGAGAAAGACTATATTTTATCCAATCACAATGCTTGAAAGTCACAGCACAGTATCATGCACATGGCATTGTTGTATAGAAATCTTGGTGATAAAAGTTTTCCTTCCCACCCACAGGATATTCAAAAYGAGCTCAATCGACTCGGAACGTCAGTAGAGGCACTAAACGARATGTACGCACTCCAGAAAAAGAAACACAAAGAATCGAAATTTAAACAAATGAATAAATTATGGGAAGAAGTGAATGGGAAAGCAGAAAAACGACGAGGAGAGATGAAGAGCGTCTTTATCATGATTGCTAAGGACTTCGAGCGGTGGGAAATGTCCATGATCAAAAGACTTGACGATGGTGAACTCGTTACTTCAGATATCTTGGTCTTTGAGGAAAAATTACAGGTATTTTGATATGCATCGTGGAGTCACTAAATCGTAGTCTAGTATGGCTGGGTTTGGGGTCTATGCTATACCACTGTGAAGCAACATGAAATCTCGTGTGCAATAACCAAAACAGTGCCCCTTAACCTAACCTCACAATATAGAACGGTTAACTTTTATACCGAACTGTACCCTAGAGTTGRCTGCTTTAGGGATCTTGGAAAAAAAGAAAAATGGGGAATCAAGGGTGCTACGATTTTGAGCTGGCTTCATAGACCTTTTGCTAACTCGCTTTAGTGACCAAGAAACAATGGCTTCAAGTCGAGGTAGGACTTGATGTGTTCATACATTTACTGTATTTTTTCAAAAGCTACCTCGACATGGAGCCATTGTTATGGGTCACTCAAGCGAATTTGCAAAAGGTCTATGAAAGTCTTAAAGATAAAGGATAAAATTTTGGTGTTTCTGCTTGCGTAGACTGTGACTGTTTTTTCTTCTGGTAAAYTTTTTTTTTAAAAAGGATGATTTTCTTTCTTTACAGTATTTCCAGAATGAGGTAGAACACATGCGCCCCGCCCTCCAAGGTGTCAATCAAGGCGGACACGAGCTGATAAACCTCGAACGAACCAAGCAGTCAGTTATTCTGGAGACTCTGGACCGCGTCAACAAAGACTGGCAAACACTATGTCTTAAACTCATTAACACGAGTGCCAAGTTCGACGAGCTCCAAGAACAGTGTCAGAGGTTCCATACCGTCCTGAAGACCATCACCTTATGGCTTGACGTCACGGAAGAGACGTTGGTAACCATGGCACCTGTGGGAGTCGACCCTGATGTGTTGGGAAAACAAATCAATGATGACAAGGTTTGTGGCTATTAGGCCTACTTTATTTTTCTTCTATATCCAATTTTTTATAACTCAAAAGTGTTCCGAGAAACCTATAAAAGCAAAGGGAATGACTATACAGCCCCTCCCCTCAAGGCTATCTAAATTAAAAAGAAATTTCTTATGGCTTAGAAATAACTCCATAATCCCATTATCCCCCCTCTCTTAGGCCCTCCAAGAAGAAGCTGTACAGTACAAAGCTCGTCTAGATCTCTTAGTAGGTCTTGGCAAAGTTATCATTGATATTACCACCAAAGSTGAACAACAGCCACARCAAAGCCAGTCACCAATGCAGCAAGACTTAGAGTCTGCACAAACCCGATACGATGATATCTGGAAGGGTATGGAGGCGCGGAGGATTATTTTAGAAACGACACTGCTACAGATCGAGAGGTACAGACGCATGGTGAGGAACATCACTATCTTCTTACACAATGTTGAGAAGAAGATGGAGAAGTTGGAGCCTGTCAGTGCTGATGTTGATACCTTACGAGACCAGATCACGGAACACAAGGTAAGGTTTTTATGAAATAGACAAGAGTTATGAGAATGATGAGAATGATGTTGATGATCGATGTTGCTGATAGTGATGGAGATTATAACCATGATGCAATGATATATGAGGTGACGCGATGATGGTTGTGGCGATGATGACGAATTAGGAGATGCATATGTCACGATGATGTCGATCGCGATCGGATCACCATGGATGGTGATTATAACCGTGATGCAATGCAGTGACGTGATGTGATGATGGTTGTGGTGATGATGATGACAGAAATGCATATGTCACGATGATGTTGACGTTGCTGATATTGATGATGATATCGGTGATGATGATGGTGATAAAAATCATGATAGGATGCAATGCGATGGGATGTGATGATGGATGTGGTGATGATGATGATAATGATGACGGAGATGCATTTCACGATAATGTTATGTCGATGATGATATAGATGATGATATCGATGTTGGCAGTGACAATGATTTGACGATGATAATGTTGATCATGACAATGATGGTGAGGATGATAATAGTAATGACAGTGATTATGATTAATAAGTTTGTGCACTTATACAGTAGTAGTGTTTACGCGCCTTTCTCTTTCTGTGAAAATATTGTTAGTGTAATTGTGTTTCTGATCCTATAATACACAGAAACTTCAGAAAGAAGTTGCGCAAGCTCAGACAGACATGGACGCGCTGTTAAAAGCAGGCAATGAGYTGATTGAAAACCGAGAGAACGCACCAGGATCAAAAGATGTACAAGAAGAGATGGACATGCTGAAATACCGACTCGATCACGTTACGAACGCAGGCAACGAACGCCAGAAGGTGTTGGAGAGCAATTGGAATAATGTGAAGCACTTTAACGAGAGTGTTAGCAGTCTTAACGTCCAGCTGMAGCGGAAGTTAAATGATATTGATGTTCTAATGAGACSTGGTGCCGACCCGAAGGACGTATACAATGACCTTAAGGTTTGTGAGTTAGTTTGATTATATGTTCACTGAGAGTCTGGGAGCGCACTTGAAATACTTTTTCATTACACTTCAACAGACTTTGATTGATTATACAGAGCTATTTGGAACAGCTGTGACGTTGTAGTCCAGGGCCCGRTTGTACGAAGGGTGGATAGCGCTATCCAACGGATAAATCCTTATTCAGTGGATAAGTCGATGCTGTTATCCAATAAATTTATCYACTGGAAGAGATTTATYCGTCGGATAGCGYTATCCACCCTTCATAGTTAATGGGCAACTAGGGAGGCTACGGCAACATTCCACTGTTTCAAWTGTTTGTACTGATCATTCCTTGAAAGGTGAAAGCGGAAAAACCCTGGATCTTTTTTCCCCGGAATCTCCTGCCACGTCGTCAACTCTAAAAGTGYATGAAAGTATCAGGGCCATTGTATATTGCATATATTATATGCTTTAATGCGAGGATTCCCGAGCAAAAATTCTGATCGTCTCGTAAAAAGATGACTATTCTTTTGCTTTGTTCTTCGATACAAATGCGATAGAAAATGCATATATAAGAACTCGGTTATTTGCGTTCGGTCAAGTGGCGCTTCTTGTCTCTTTGAATACTTTTAAGTATTGAAATACATGTTGTTTCATCGAATACTTGTCATTACTGTCATTAAAAATTGTTGTGTGAATTCTTTCACTAGTCGTTGGAATCTGACATGGATCAGCTCAGCAAAGAGATGACCACGATGAAGGAGTCCGCTGACGAAATTGTAACGCATCTTCACAAAACACACCAGGACACGAAGCCAATCGACAGTAAGGTAGAAGAAATAGGTGACCAATGGAGACAGCTACAGGCGAAACTAAAGGAACTTAGTGCTTTCGTTGGTAGAGGAAAAGTAGATGAATTCCCTCAGGTATGCCAAATTATACATAGCTCTGTGTTTAAATATCGGATATGCACGGGACTCGTATTTTAGTTTCGGAAAAGACACTTTTGCATGGTCAACAAGAAAAAAACCGGTTTTCCAAGTTCCCTATCTCCTTCAGGACAAACAGTCAAGCTTCAACATTTTGTACTTATTCTGTATTTTGTACTTATTATACTTATATGTGCGTGAAATCTTTTTTATAGCGTTTTAATTTAATGACTAACTTACGTAGTAATATTTATTGAATGGTATGTACGCATGAAAAATGCACTGTTTACGCCGGYCTTCCGAAAACTTCTCGACGATAATTCGTTGTTGGCATGCGCACTGTTTAGGGTGGGTATTTCATTTGTTGTATGCGCGCTGTAGTGAGTCCACTGGAGAATCGAAGGTGTCTAGATCCGCGGCGCTGAACAAGTCAGCGGCTCGACTTCTCGAATCGGCGAGCATGCGCTTTCATCACTTGCTCGCCGTCCACCGGAGAATCGCGGTTAAGAATGACGTTCGTCGATGCTTACATCATTTTAGGTCTGGGCCAGATATCCTTTCTTCGTTTTCGGCGCAGTCTTTTTATATTACTTGAAGGATCGGGGAAAAAAACTTGCTTGTTCAGGCAACGGCCTCGTCGTATTTCGATAAAGGTCTTTATTCCAACATTTGTTAATACAGCGAAGGTCGGTATAACATAGCGAAACATTGAAGGAAGAAACAGTCGTGTCGAAGCTCTTCGAATACTATCAGGATTTTCCCTCATCGCATATATTATTTTCCCGCTTCAATTATGGTGTTTGTAATTTGCCACTGATATTAAAAAAGAGCACACAAAAAAAAAAAAAAAAAAAATTACAAACAAAAAGTCATGAGCAAGCCAAAATAGTTTCCATCTCGTCTTATTCTTTTTCTGGTTTTCCATTTTCCCCTTATTCTGTTTTCTTATTTTTCATTTTGTATTTACCTCCTGATTTTTCTGCCAGGAGCTGAGACTGCGAGTTATTTATAATGCAGCCTTTTAAAAAATTCACTGTTATTCAAATTTCAAGGTGATCTATCATTTTAGGCGGACGTATTTGATTAATCTCTCGATAAGGACGTGGCAGCAGTATTGTTCGTACTGCTCTAAAATGACTCATGACTCATGACAATACCATCTGAAGCTTTCGGTTGCTATAACAATAAAAAATTCTCAGACGCATTTTATCARCTGTGACATTTTTTGATATGTCTTAATGCCGGTACAGAACACGATGTCATTGCAGACAGACTCCTTGCACCTTCTTGTTTTTCTGTTGCTCCTTTTCTATCTCAGGAGGTAGCATCGATACTGCAGAGTTCTGTGCTTTGAGGGAATGCTGTGTTTGGTCAAAACGTTTGTCCCACTGCACCTTCAAGGCCCCTAGCAAAATCATATATTGCCATATCTTTTTACGAAGTTCTCTTTCTCCATTGAATAATATTTTCGGGAGTTTTTCCAAAGTTGTTTTCACACATGCATATGGCATATCATATATCATTTGTATAACATTTAATGCACTTTGTAGATCGAAAAAAGTTCAACCTTCTGGTTTGCTCATKACAATATTTTTTCATCGTTTGCGAATCGAGTGTCTTTGATAAACTCATTATTTCGGCGTCCCAGAATGTTCCAGAAAAAGATTCGCGTTGGACAGCGATCTTTAAGCCACGTGGACAACTGAAATGATAATAAGATTTGTATTTCTTCCGGGCACACCTTAAAACATTTATTACCTTCTACTTTATCTGTATCCCCTAATCAAACGTTACACGATATTTTTCCTTCACAAGAACGACTTTTTGTCCTTTCTCGGAYCATAGTTGATGGTCCTCGTATCTTCTTTCTTTCCTCTTATATTTCTTGTATCAACAAAGTGTGTGTCTATCGCGTGACTACCTCCTTCTCTCAACGATACCCTTGATGATGATATCCATTCACGCTGTTATTAGTATTTTATTCGTTCAATTTTTATTCATTTACAACGGTAAGAAACCCTTTTGGTATTTGAGAGGAGAAAATATGAAAAAGACCGTGCGTTACTCCCCAAATCACATGTACTAAAAAGTTTGTGACCCGATCGTCTTCGTTCCGTGACCTTCTAGAAYTCTAAGTACCATTTTGTATCTCCAATTTCCTAGACACTACGGTCTCTTGCTTTATCCGGACACGGAACGATATCTGAAAGTTTAGCTTTTCTCCTTGGAAATTCCCCAGTTGATTAACGACATTCGATTAAGAGTTCCTAGAGGTCCAAAAGAAATCACTTTTGTTAAAGATAGGAGTTTTAAGTCTTCGTCCTGTAGCATGAGGCTACTCGCAAAAGGATGAACTTTTCGAATTTGTCCAAGGTGTTCAGTCGTTTCAAACGCCGATTCAATGCTGTAAGTACTTCGAAAAAATCTCTGCTCCACCTCTACCACTCTGGTTATACAGTTTATTCTCCTTTTTCATGAGTTTGGTTTATTCAATTTCAAGTTAATTTGCAATATATATATACATATTTATTATGATTAAACAAAGGAAACAAGTCTTATCGTGATCCGGATGYACGGTCCGGCATTCACCTCTAAAGAGCTAGCCTTTGGGCAAACAAGCAACTTCAAAATAAGARTATATACTTTCAGTCAAAAGCTATTTCAAATGCTATTGATATTACAACCTGTGTTTTCAATTACTCGTCCGTTTTCATGCTATTTTTTAACACGATTTGGTTTTTGCTGCAACCAAAATTACTGGTAGTGTGATTGATAACTGATCCGGCCTCTCTGGTGTTGAAAAAGCCACTTGAATTTCACAAGATTCAATATATTTGATTTGAAGATTACCGTATGGTTTGCGCTCCGGTAAACCACTCAACGGGGCTTGCATTTGTGTAGTATTTTTAGGGCTTGTACGGTATAAGCTTCATTCAAATTCTACTTTACCCTGGGCCCCAGAGATACAGTAAATGAAATTTTTATTGACTTACAAGATGGATCTCCAAGGATATTTCTAGCTTCTTTTTGTAATTTTATTCCTTGCCCCTTGAATTGACATTCACTCGATATTTGGTTTCAACAATCCCTGATATAATCATGTCCTTAGTTGGAATCTTTCTAATATCAGCCATTTTCATAGAATCGTGAATTAAAAGTCCACGTTCCAAAAATCATAAGCATAATTTTTGTTTGACAGAATTCGTGCCAATTATATTTTATTGACATTTGATGTAAAAARTATAAAATGGAGATTTATAGTTTTCTGGGAAACCGTTCCCCGGTAATTGCATATGGCATGGAGATGGCCCTACTGTATGTAAAATAAAATCGAGACTTCAAACGTCACCTGTTGTAAAGAACACATGGTGGCTCTATTGTGCCATTCTTCAGTTTGGGTTGGTAYTTTCATTTTTGATAAAAAGTATTCGTAATATAAATAAGTGGAGTAATTTGGAAATCAGTTCGATTTGACATACCTTTACGGAAAATGAATTGAAATGAATAAACGCGTTTTGACCTTTTGTTTAATTGTATTCATTTTTCAATTGGTTTTTATTGTTAGGATAATCAATTTAGGGTGTTTGTAAACGAATCTTATGAAGTTCTAGTGTTTTATATATTCTATTTGACTTTTTTTCG